TCACTCCGGTGGGAGGAAAAATGCTGGCGGCGCCTTGCAAAAAAGGAGTCAGGAGCAGTTGCCGGTAAGCGTGAAAAACCGTGCACGCCCGAAAAAGGACGCGAAGCAACGGAAACCCCGCCTCCTGCGCTCGCCATCTGGGCTCTGCTCTAGGAAGGAGGCACTGGCAAACCACTTCCGAAACACCTTGCCTTGAAAACTGCAAAAGGACTCGTCCAAGCAGTCACTGCAGAGTCAGTAACGACTGAGCGCAGATTAAAAAAAAAAAAAACCTGCAGAGTTACCACAGTAATGTAACTCTAATAACCCTGGAAGATTGGGGTATTCTAAAGGGTGAAATGGGTACTCCCAATGTTGTAGACATCCTAACATCTCTTAAAAAGTGCTAACTCCCTTAAAAATCAGGCTAGCTTTTCCCCTGCAGACCCTTAAATGGCAAAAATGGGTGCCTTAAAACTGCATTAATTTTGCCTCTTAAAATCTCACCACCACCCAAAGTCATAAATCCTGCCCTCCATTTCAGTGCTCTATCATTAGCCAGACTCCCTGCGGCCCCTGGGCAGGACACATACAAACTGCAGCCCCTAGACCAGAAAAGATTGCTCAGCACTGACTATACTAGTTTTTCTTTCCCTAAAGGGAGCTTAGTGTATAGAAAGCTAAGCTGCAAAGAAAGACCGCAAGAATCCTTTCTCAGCCCCTAACCAGTGGAATTTATTTTCAAGGTGTTTTTGGTTCCCTTTCACTAACATTTCCTAATCAAGGAATGGGGCTACTTACAATATTTTCATTTTCAATGATTAACCATCTAATTTTCATGAATTAAAAAGGACCATGATAATGCAATGCATGTGTATGTAATAAATAGAACTGAGGATTTAATATTGTGTTAATATTAAGGAACAGTTGCCAGCTCTTGTGCTTGGGAATGGCTCCATCTGTCCTAAATCATTTACCTGTCAGGGGCTGCCCTGTAGTCAAGGATACAAACAGCAGAAATTTCTGTAACTCAGGAAATTACTCCAGATACTACCAGTATAGAAATTGTGCCAGGAGTATCCCGCTTAACATGTGAGGGTTTTGGGGATTGGCTAAGCATAATTCACCAATATCTCTGGTGAATAAGTTATGTGGAGTCCTTGGGGTTCTCTGAGCTTGGTTCTTTTCCCCCACCCCCACCAGCATTGGCAAGGCATGCCACAGCATATAAATAGAGCGCAAACCCCATCCCATTTTAGCATTGAAGATGTTACCTAGCCGGGTAATGAAACGTTTGCAGGAAAAGAACCAAGCTCAGAGAACCCCAAAGACTGCACAGTTCAACCCTGAGCTACAGCAGTTCGCCTCCGTTGGAATAAGTTATGTTCCCAATTCATGTGTGGCTCATTAAAGTTTAGGTACTCGCTTAGCATTCATAACACACTGAATGTTTGTGATAGAAATAACTTCTACAGCATAGCACGTCAGAGCTTTGTTAATGCTCTCAAGCAGGTTGGGACTTTGTGCTCTCTTCAGTACATTCAAGTATTTTGGAAAATCTCCCAGTGTATACATAAACAATATATTTAACAAGCAGTGTTTCTTACATATAAAAATCTCATTTAATTCTGGTTTCTTCGGTTTCATTTTATTCTCCCATGAAAAGTAAATTGCATTGAGATAGGTGTTGAATTGCTGAATGCTTTTCTCCCTTGACTTTTCTTCCTTGAAGATACACTGCTGCTTTCCTAGGGGGTTAAGACCTTTCAAATCAACAGGTGACTTTGCAAAAACAAGTACTGCATTATGATACCATTTTTAAATGTTTTCAAATATTAGTTTTCAAAAGATCTAAAAGGCACATATTGCAAAATTTAGTGACAGCCCTTCCTGGCATGAAATTAGCTAAGTGCTGGCTCCATTTACAGTATTAATGGATAGAGCTTGAGGAATGGGCCTGTTCTGATTGGCATTAACTGTTCTGAAGCAGCTCTTCATTTTTATTGCCTACCAAGTTTACTTTTATACTAGATATTACAATTAAAAACATATAATGTTCACTGACTTCCAATATCTAAATTGAATTGGATTTAAACTTTTTTAATAAACTGCTATAACTGAGCAAAACTGTTTCTGAAGAGAAATGAATTAAAAATGTCAGAAGGAAGATGGGGACGTGCTAACTTGGAAGTTTTCATTTTTATTTTTAAATAAGGGTTTTTAAAAGAATAAAGTATAAAAAATAAATGAATTTATATTTCTGCTGTTACCTGTTTAAGTATGTTGGCTCCCTGAAATGATAGGGTCACCTTAATGCTTTTTTTCTCCCAAATAGCAACGTTAGTGTCCCGAGTAACACAGTGCAGTCAGTACAGTCAAGTTACAATCCCTTTGAAGATGAAGAGGATTCTGGAAGTACTGTCAGTGAAAAGGAGGACAATAAAATCAAAAAGTTGGTGAAAGACTGTTCTCAGTTTGTTTGTCTTGCTTTCACTTCTCTATCCAGGGTTTTCAACTCTGGGTTTCTTCAAAACCATTATGTGCATGAAGTCCTTACTCAGAGGTTACCTACCTTTTGCAGAACTGACTAACCTACCAATGCTGTATTACTGTATTATTTTCTGATTGGTTTTTCTTCACTGATTCCGCAGACATCTCTGGTAGTGTGCTTTGAAACCATTGCTGGAATTTTACTGCTGGCTGTATTCATTTGGATGTGTTCCCTTAGGAATCTCTATTACCACATAACATTTTTTCCTTAAATGAATATTTGGTTTCTAGTGTTGATGTTGAACTACTGGTTAATAGCTTAATACCCTCTTTATACCTCTCAGTGTACTCTATGATTAACTCTGGTTGTTTGTGCTGGTTGTTTGACATGGCAAAATACACCATGATTAAATAGGAGCCCTTGGTGGTGTAATAGTGGCATATCTGTGTCATAGTCCTTGCCCAGCTAATCCTTGATTACCTTGTTCAGCTAATCAAGCTAAAATAATTTTCTTTTTGTGTTTAGCATTAGCAGCTATGAGAAAAACCAGAATTTGGGGACTGAATGGTCTGATGAGGAAACCAATAATCCATTTTCATCCAGTGATGCCCAAGGAGAATCTAATCCATTTGATGAAGATGCTTCCCCTACAATGGAAGTGAGAGTACGAGCCCTATATGATTACGAAGGCCAAGAGCATGATGAATTGAGTTTTAAGACTGGTAAGTCCTATCTTCCTATATTATTATTTTTCTGCCATAGGAAATGCAAGACATTTCAGGTGTATGATGTATAGGTATTTTGGATTAAATATATATATATAAATTGCATTTTGGAACTCTTGAGGTCCTTTTAGAAATCGACTGGTGGAGAGAAATTAGCCTCTTTTCCCAAATGTGTGCAGTTGTAGGAAGTTTGCACGCACGAAGTGCCAGTGTATACATGCGTTATATGATAATTTCTGTACAGATAGTCCCCTGGTTAAGAACTCCTGGATTACAGACAACCCATAGTTACAAACAGAGCCTATTGTGGCAAAATTCAAGTTAAATATACAGTGATTCGAGTTAAATATACAATGGTTCGAGTTCATTACACAATACATACAGTATTATTGTATAATGCTGTTCCAGCTTACATACAAATTCAGCTTAAGGACAGACCTCGGGAATGGAACTCCTTCTTAATCTGGGGATTACCTGTATTTATAAAAATGAATATGGCAGTATTATTATTATTATTATTATTATTATTATTACTACTACTACTACTACTACTACTACTACTACTCCCCCCTTCAAGTCAGTCTTGACTCCTGGCAACTGCACAGACTAGTCCCTGAAGTTTTCTTGGCAAGATTTTCAGGAGTGAGTTGCCCTTGCCTTCTTCCTTGGGCTGAGAGAGAGTGACTGCCCAAGGTCACCCAGCTGGCTTTATGCTTAAGGCAGGTCTATAAGTCAGTTTCCTGATTTCTAGCCTGATACCTTAACCACTATACCAAAGTGACTCTCATAGCAAAATTAAACTTCACTAAAGAAATACTTAGGATTAGGCTAAAATAGCCTCTTCCACGAAAATAAGTAAGAGTATCACTCTGGGAAAGATCTATATACCTCTAAATGGCCAGGAGACCTGCTTGAAATTCCAATAAATGTTACAAACTGAAGAGCAATAAATGGAAGTTGTGATGGAATGGCATGGGACTGGAAGGGGGGTAAAGAACGTGATCTCGTCTCCATAGCAACGCACTAGAGATAAGAGGCGAAAGCTGACACACCCCTAACATTCCAGGAGATAGTGAATTCCTGTTCCTGGGAACTGCTGGCCAGTCTGAGAAGATTCTGTACACAAGCACTAGCTAATAAAGATTGATGTCAGGCCTAGCCCAAGGAACTCCTGGAGACCGTGCAGGTTCAA